GAAAAATTAATAATTTTCTTGGTTTAAATATGAGATAGAACAGGGATGGAATTTTCATCAACCAAGAAAAATATACAAAGAATCTGCTCTAAAAGTTTGGAATGACAAATAACACGAAGCTTAGAGTACCAATGGCAGTGGGAACAAGACTAACTCCTTCGTTAGATAATCCTGCTGTTGATTTAACACTTTATCGAAGCATGATAGGGTCTTTATTGTACTTAACTGCAAGCAGACCTGATATTATGTTTTCAGTATGTAATTGTGCTAGGTATCAAGCTAATCCCAAGAGAACCTCACTTAACCGCTGTGAAAAATATTTTTCGCTATCTTAAGGGGACATTTTCGTTAGGACTTTGGTATCCTTCGAAATCAGGATTCTTCGTTAAAGCTTTTTTAGATGCTAATCTAGGAGGATGTATTTTGGATAGAAAAAGTACAAGTGGTGGATGTCAACTATTGGATGGAAAATTGGTGAGATGGCAGTCGAAGAAGCAAACTTGTGTTGCTATATCAACTGTTGAAGCTAAATATATTTCAGCTGCTGCTTGCACTTCGCAAATCATTTGGATTTAGAGTCAACTTCGTGATTATGCTATAAATATGAAAAATATTCCCTTGTATTGTGATTCTCAAAGTGTAATTCGCATTTGTCATTATCCAGTACAACACTCAAAGACAAAACATATTGCTCTTCGATATCATTTTATCAAAGATCATGTGGAAGATAGGAATATCGAAGTACATTTTGTTAAAACCACTGAACAACTTGCTGATATTTTTACTAAACCTCTTGATGAAACATCATTTGTGAGAATCTTAGCTGGTTTAGGGATGATCGATGCGAATTCAGTGCTAAAATCAATCACTCAAGAATGAAAGATCCATTCAGCAACTCTGATTCAGAATCATTCAAAAGTTATTGTGCGTTAAGAGGCTTCGGATTCGCTCATTTGGTAACTGAGGTTCAATTTAATTTTGTTCTTTTCTGCTTTGCGAAAAACACGAAAAATCAAAAATATTTTCATTTGTTTGTCTATTTTTTTTGAAAAAATTAAAAATAACAAAAAGATTTTCTTTTATTTTGTCTTTCATTTTCCAAAAATATAAAACTCAAAAATATTTTTTTTAAGATTGTTAAAATTAGATTTTGTTTTTGTTCTTTTATATTTGAGAAATCAAAAATCACAAAGATATTTTTCTTTTAATTTTGTTCTTCAGGTTTTGTGTGTTTTCAGTATTAGTCAAGAGCAAAATGAGAAGAGGTCATGCTTATGTTTCTATGGGAAGGTATGATTTCTTTCAACTATGTACTAGTTAGGTTGTCCCTAGAAGCATGCTGCAGCATGTTGACCCAAGCCTCATATGACTCTATGTGTGAGAAACGAAAGCCTTAATTAAATTTTCTTATGAAAATTTCTTCCCAATCAAGCTAATATTCGCATTAGTCAAAAGAGCTACCTTACTCTTCTCAAATGAGTAAAGAGTTTTCGGTTTGGTCCACACATAACAGAGGTACATTCGATCTTATAACCAATCTTTTTCATCACAAAATTTCTTAACACGATACACACACAAAGACACATGTCCAAGAGGTCACTTGATCAAACCAATCGTGATTTAGACATGTCATCATTCTGTGTTAATGATCTTGTTTCATGAGTCTGTGAAATAAGTGAAACCCTCAAACTTCGCAAATTATGGAATTGACGGGGAACTATGTTCCAGATTTTCATGAAACAATTGTTTCTGTAACTAATATTTCATATACTCCAAATTATATTCATTCTTATAAGTGATCCTGATCAAATTTTCGAAGCCCACGAAGTTTGTTTCCCAACAGAGTCCAGCACTTCAATTTTTTTTGAATATAGTTTTTGTGTGAGTATATATCTAAAATCCTTGTCACTTTTCAAAAATAATCCAAAACAATTTCGTCACTGAACACAATGTTCAAACACGTAATTTCGATTACAATTACTCACCTTATGTTTAGGATGATTTTTAACGAAATTCGCAAACCACCATATTAAGCCTATAAAGAACCCCTTTGATACTTCTCTCTAAGTATTCGATTGTATGTCACGGGAAAATGCAAAAGCAGTTGATTACCTCTCTTGGTAATTAAAGAAGAAACCTTTGACCGGGGTTTTACTGCTTTGTGTCAATAAATTTTGACATCACAGAATCCCAAAGTTTTTTTAACTTGCTTCTTATCTCATTTCTTTGAATCACATGCACTCACGAAATCCTTGAGGTTCTAAGTAATACCAACTTAGGCTGATGATTTCGCAAGACTGGTAAATGACTTCGTTTAAAATCCCATAAACGAAAGAGCCCAACCTCGATACCGAAGGGTTTTCTTTCATACAGCTGTACTCATGAACAGTTTCCAGTAGCTGTTGGTCGTAGTTTCAAGGCATTTTAGCCGACATGATCATTACAACGGCTATTGATTACATGTTTCCCGGAACACGTAGCCTACTCTAATTTTGGAAATGGTTCATCTTTGGGATTATCATATAAAAGGGATAATCTTTTCTTAGAATCATTACGTGATTCAAAATTTTCAGACGAACAAAAAGCCCTAATCTTTCTTTCAAGAAATTTATCAGATTAACAATGGCTGCTACTCAATCGAACGCAGAAGAAGTTATTTCAGAGTCCCTCATGAAGATTCAAAGCACAAATTTCCAAGTTGATCCCAATCTATCATCTTACCCTGAAGAATTGAAAATGTTGATTGTTGCACTGAAAATATCAGCATTGTCAACTGCTATGTTCAGTTCATTCCCAGTTCCTATGACTTGGTTGTCAATGGCGGCATCCACTGCGTCATTCAACTATGCAACATATGTGATAACCTTCAACCTGGTAAATAACAAGAGGGTTCGTCTTACAAAGAACATGTTCATTGACTTCTTGAACATTCCTCATAACCCACCGTTCTTTAAGCCCACCAACTCACAGATTATCTTCATGTTCAATGAGATGGGACATCAACCCACTCTTGAAAAGATAAGTGATTTCAGGAAATCAAGCTTACCGTGTATATGGAACTTCTTATTTGGAATCTTTCTATGATGCTTGACCGGAAGAAGTGTTGGTCTAGACAGGGGAAGACAGGAGGTTTATGCAATGGTTATGGGCCTTTACTACGATCTAAGTGTTGATTATGGAACTCAGCTTTGGAAGGAGTTCATCAAAAATTTTGAAAACACCAGTGTTGATAAGGGGATTTCTTGTGCAAGGTACTGGAGTTTGATTTTGGAAAAAGTCTATGCGAAAGAAGGAATTCAAGTTCCTGAAGGAGGAGATGTCGCAATATTCTCTTTGTATCAATTTCCCAAAGCTGTTGAAGATGATGTGAATATATTCACAAGTGTTGCAAGAATTCCTAATGCAATGCTTTGCAAAGTGTCCTCTACTCACAAAGTCTTAGTTCGATACATGAAGACTTTTGATCCTTCTATGCGAACTGGAGTGCTACTTGAAGTCATTGGTGAGTCATCCAAGAAAAAGAAGAAGACTCAAAAGGAGGAAAAACCTGAAGCTCCAAAAGTCTCAAAGGCTGAAGAGGTTGAGAAAGTTGTGTCTTCTACCAAACCTATAAAGGAGATCATACCGACTAAGTCAGGGGTCTTAAAGAAGACTGCCTCTCCAACTATTCGCAAAACTGAAGTGAGTAGTAAGGGGGCTATGTTTAGAGAAATTCAGGCTCATACAAACCCTACTGTTCATCTTCTTTGTCAAGAAATCAACAATTTCGGGATCTTCTGAAACTCCATATGCTCACAATCAAACAACATAATCATCTATTCTCACTATCAAGCCAAACTAGAATCTGGTGATCGATCTTGATCCATTCAGATATGAAAGCTATCATCTTCCAATCGTAGAATGCCTGAAGTACTCTCCTCTTGTTACTACTTTGACAGATATGGAGAATGTTCTGATGTCTCTTCTGTTAATGACTTACTCATCTACAACTTACAACAAGGAAGAACAGAGGATTACATTTGAAATCCACAACAGACAAACTTCTATCTCCAAATGTTGATTCTGTTCCATTTTAGGGCTTCCTCAAATCGATGATATGATTAATCCATAATCAATTACCAATGCAGCCTTATTGGAGATGTTTTATCAAATGGGGTAAAAATAAACCCTAAACGCCATCTCAAAGTTCTGGAAACCTAATTTACCACCATAATGGAATGGCCTCTTTACCATCCTGTTTAAGGCACTTCATGAGCGAGTCATCGGTTCTGATTGTGCCAACAAGCTCTTTATGGCGATTATCTATGGGATTTGGAGGCAATGTTGCGTGATGTGCCAGTATCGAGTAAAATTCTTGAGGCTTACAGGAAACTTAAAGACTCAGGGTTTCGCCCTTTGACGGATAAGATGTGAGAGATAATAGTTGAGGCTAATAAGGCCAAGAAAGGAGGAAAGAAGAAAATAGTGAAAGAAGGTACTTCAATAGTTGCAGCATCGCCTAAGAAACGAAAGACAAAAGTTGCCACTTCCGCACCAGTTCCACCTCCCACAAAGAAGCGAAAGGTCAAGCAATTTGCTCGTAGGACCATCTCTCGCACTCCTAGTGAAAGTGAAAAGTTCACAATGAATATTTTACATTCACAGTCCGACAATCAATCAGATGTTCGTCTTAAGGAGAATGAAAAGTTCACAATGAATATGTTACATTGAAACTTGAGATAACTCCCACTTACAATGATTTCTTTTCATCTCCTCCTCATTCACCAAAAACCACCACCATACCAATAACTATTGCACCATGCCCCCTACCAGTCTCTTCTCAAACACAGAGTAGTATTCCTTTATCTACTCCATTATTTTTCGATTCCACTCCTCCACCAACAACATCATCCACACCTCTTGTTTATGTCAACGCATCTGATGCTAGGGCAGGGGCATCAGGTTTTACCTTTACCCATATCTCACCTCTTATTTCCCTACTTTGCTAAAACAACCTTGATATGATATATGGGGATGGTGAAGATGAATTTGCAGGATTTAATTTTTGTCGATTCACCATCAGGATTGAAAATGATGACGAATCTCCAGACACGAGGGGGCAACTCAAGATAATACAAGAAAAGCTTGACTCGTTGCATCAGGCTTCAAAACCTTCATCAACTGATGAATATTCTCAAGCTACAGTTAAGTCCCTTCTCGAGACACTCACCAAGGAACATTCAACAAATCTTGAGAAGATGAACAAGGTAGTTGATAATTCTGCTACCGTCTGCAACAAAACGACTAAAAAAGTCAATAAACTAATTTCTGATGCCACAACTTTCATGAATAACTTCCAAACATCCTTCGAGTTAAACACAACGAAAGCCACAAAGCAATATCTAATCTTGGCTCCTCTCTTAAAGTTGAAAGGGAAAAATTTCAAGAAGTTCATTGTAGCATTAAAAATAATGTTATTGAAGGTTGTAGATTATCTCGTTGGAAACATTTAGACGAAAACCTCGTTGAAATCCGAGTCACAAGGAAGAAGTTATGAACAATCGAAGATTCGCGAGAAAGCCGACAAAACACTATTTCGCGTAAAAAGTGAGTATTCAATAAACTACTTTTTAGCCTGTATGATCTAAATGAAAGTTGTAGTATTTGTTAAACCGAGAACTTTCATAAAAAGAACGTCAAAATCTGACTTCGTATGAGGAAATTATGATTTTTCTAAGTTTCAGTATAGCATTATACAGCTAAAAACTCAAAATAAAGATCGAGTGAGTCTTAGCCGACATAACCTAAACGAGATTCGAAGCTCTCATCAATAGTAGTACAACGGTAAAAAGACAGACGAAAACGGACGTCAGATGAAGAAGTAATGAATCTTTAACGGACTTTTCCTATCTCGGCCCGTTAAAAATATAATGTTAAAAATAAATTCAAAATTAGCCGATGGAATCTAAAAGAAAGTTGTAGAGTATAATTTCACCTACGCGTGGATATAAATAACGTCACAAACGTAGCTTGTATGCAAAAGATATGGATTTTTGAAGTTCGGAAGACAAACTTCGAAATCTGACTGCGTTTACGATGTGAACAAGCATGGTTCAGGAGATGAACTACTTGAATGACACGTTTCAAGCCTAGAAGACACACTGCAGGCCTAGAGGATTACCGGGATCAAACTCACGATGTGAACAAGCATGATTCACGTTGTGAACCAAAAATTCAGCATATAAAAGGGACGCGAAGGCAGCCATATTTTGGTTACATTATCTTATATCTCTCACTCTCTAAACCTTCTTTAGCCCACATTTAACCCCATAAAGTCCTGGTATCATCCATGACACCTAAAGCAAGACCCGACGCTCCAAAGCTCCTAAGAAAAAAAAATTCAAGTCGGAACTCTGCCCGTGTAAGGCCGGTTCTCAACTAAAATCCTCAATTTCATCACAGAAAATCATATTTAGAGTCGAAGAGCTACCCAAATTAATACTTTAATCCCCTGTTATTTCACGGTAAGTTCAATATATAGGAATAGTTATATTTTATGTGTTATATGTGTTATGTGTTTTTCCGTGTTATTATCTTGTGTTATTATTTCATGCTATTATGTAGCAAAGTTGTACCGTTGACCATGTGATCAGTGGAAGGACTTAGATTCACAATGGTTTTGGTATGTAACCTCCCGCCAAGTAGAGCATGTCTCGTAAGAGAATGAATTCTACCCTTATGGAATTGATAGAAGGTTAGATAGGGCTAAAAGCCTGAAATCTACCAAAATGTTTAAATCAGAAAGTGTATGTCTTTTGTGCCATTTGGGCCGAAGCTTTAGTGATGTATATCAGCTGTTGAAATTGTTATGTCTCTTTGATTGTAAATCTTTGAATCAAATCATTGATTGATAATGAAAGCTTGTCACATGATTCACGTATGCTTTTGTTGTTACTTGTTCCTCTTTGCTTCTGCCATATTGAAGTATATATATGGCATAACGTTATATTGTATCTATTATTGAACTCACTAAGCGTCACCACTTATCCCTCTCTGTGTTTAACAATTGCAGGTAATAAGCTTCCAGTGTAGTCTTATACTGTTGGAAGATTTAGGATAGTTTAAACTATTACTTTTGTATTTAGTACTCACGTATGTATAAAACTATATTATCCTGGGTAGTTATGTAATATATAACACTTTGTATTAGTCGGTTTGTATCCAGTCTTTTGTAATCAAAATATTAATTTAAAATGTTATTTATGAATATGCATATAGCATGTGTTGAAGTAATTTGGAGTAACTTGGAGTAATAATGTTTTAATCATATGAAAGTGTGGGTCTTTTATCACTAGTACTTGTGAAAATGGTGAAGGTTTGCTGGATCTCATACACACTGATGTGTGTGGGCCCTTCAGAACCGCCACAAGGGATGCTAACCGCTTCTATGTGACTTTTACTGAAGATTACATTAGATATGGCTATGTCTACTTAATCAAGCATAAGTCAGAAACCTTTGAGAAATTCAAAGAGTTTAAGCAAGAAGTGGAGAATCACCTGGGCAGGAAGATAATGATACTCCAACTCGATCACGGTGGTGCGTATCTTAGTATCGAGTTCCTTGACTATCTTAAGGAATGTGGAATTGTTTCACAGTTGATGCCACCTAGGACACCACAGCTTAATGGTGTGGCTGAGAGGCGCAACCGAACTTTGTTAGACATGGTTCGTTCCATGATTAGTTGAGCTTCGTTACCAATCTCATTATGGGGGTATGCCTTATAGAATGTCTCCGATATCCTTAATCTAGTCCCTACCAAGAAGGTTGCGAAAACATCTCACGCAATGCGGGCTGGGAAGGTTCGCACATTAGGCCACATCAAGGTTTGGGTTTGCAAGGTTTTCGTGAGACGTGAGGCTCATGACAAGCTCGAACCTCGTAGTGAGCGGTGTATTTTCATCGACTAACCACAAAAATCCTTTAGTTATATCTTCTACATACCAAGTGACAATGTTGTCTTTGTTGCAAGGAGAGGAGTCTTTCATGAGAGAGAGCTCATAAGCAAAGGAGACTGTGGGAGGCAAATTGACCTTGAAAAACTTCAAGAGTCAACCGGTGAAGGAACCTCAAACACTAGCAATCAAACTAAGGAGGAAACTCTTGTTGAGCTGATTGACGAGTCTGTACCTCTATGGTGATCCAGTAGAGTTACAGTTCCACCTCGGTTTTATGGTTTCCATATTACTGCAGAAGGTGATACATTTATCAGTGATATCACACTGGTAAATTTGGATGAACCTAACAACTACAAGGAAGCCATGGAAGGAACCGAGTCTGCTAAATGGAAAGAGGGTATGGAAAGTGAAATTCAGTCCATGTACGGCGATAAAGTTTGGAACGTGGTTGACAATGTACCGGGTCGTAAAAAAAGTTTGGTGCAAATGAATCTTCAAGAAGAAGACCGTCATGGATGGGAAAGTACACACTTATAAGGCTCGACTGGTTCCAAATGGCTTTACTCAAACTCCGGGAGTTGACTATAATGAGACCTTCTCACCCGTAGCAAATATTAAGTATATTAGATTTATGATAGCCATTGATGGATTTCATGATTATGAAATATGGCAAATAGATGTCAAAGCCACTTTCCTTAATGGAAAGTTGACTGAGGATGTTTACATGAGTCAGCCAAAGGGTTTTTTCGATGAAAAGTACCCTAATTGAGTATGTAAGATTGAGAATTCCATTTATGGGTTTCGATGAGAAAGTCAAGGAGTTTAGCTTTTCGAGAAGCGAAGATGAGTCTTGGATTTTCGAGAATCTTTCTGTATATGTCAATGCTAATAGCTTTCTGGTATTGTATGTGAATGACATATTAGTCATAGGAAATGACATCCCAAACTTGAAGGAGGTTAGGTCCTGGCTTGGGAAGTGTTTCGCTATGAAGGACTTCGGAGAAGCTGTCTATATTTTGGGAATAAGGATATTGAGAGACAGTAGCAATGCCAAGCTAAATAAAACACAGAGTCTGAGTATAGAGGTGTTGAAATGATTCAGCATGCAGGATTCCAAGAAAGGCGACTTACCAATCCAAAGCAATTCCGAGCTGAGTAAAACTCAAAGTCTAAGTATAGAGGCTGAGATAGTTGAGATGAGATCAATACCACATGCTTCTGGGGTTTGCTCGATCATGTATGCTATGACTTGTACTTGCGCTAATTTGGCCTTTGCTTTGAGCATGGTTAGATGATATCAACGGAATCCTAGCAAGGCTCACTATACTGCGGTAAAGAGCATTCTCAAGTACTTGCGGAGGACTAAGGACTGGGTCCTTACCCTTGGTGGGAGTGATGACTTAAGGATGGTGAGGTATAGTGACGCCAACTTTTAGACAAATAGGGATAATTTCCGCTCTCAGTCAGGCTCAGTTTTTACTCTGAATGGAAGAGCATTAACTTGGAAAAGTTTCAAGCAGGAGATGGTAGCTGATTCAACTTGCGAATCAGAGTACATAACAACAAGTGAGGCGGCGAAGTAGGCGGTATGGCTAAAGAACTTCATCGGAGAACATCTAGTTATACCAGCTATAAAGGAGCCTATGGAAATTTTCTAACACAACAAGAGTGCGGTTGCCTTAGCCAAGGAACCAAGGGATCATGGAAGATACAGAGATATAGACATAAAATATCACTTCATAAGACATTGAATAGACGAAAGACTCCTTGTGGCAAAGACGGTATCATCAGTGGAGAACCCAACAAATCTCCTCACGAAGGGACTGAGTAGGGTTAACCACTTGCAGCATGCGAGGCGCATAGGGCTGAAAGATGATATTAGTATTAATGTAATTAACATTTGATTCTTAAATAAATGGTATTTTTTTATTTACTAGTATGGTACTCTCTTATGTCAATCATTTACTATTGTTTCACTTTGCATGTTTTGACTCCTAGAATAATAATATTATTCAAACTATCCATAGCCGATCATATGTTGGAAGTTGGTATTCAAGCAAGAATATCATGAATTTGGCTTTTAAATGTGTACGAATTGTATTAGACATAGCAAATTTTGCTGCAACATTCGTGAGTGCTCATAAGGTCTGAGTATTGGATAAAACCCATGCTAACTTGTATCACTTCATGGAATTTATCTCGAGTGATCGTGAGATGATAATATCATATAAATCTTCAAAACAAGATATATGATTTGTTGACTATGAGTTGGTTGTGCATTGATACTACGAAACCGCATTAGTAATTGTCATACCCCCAAAACACAACGGCGGAAACATTCAGTGGTGGAGGACTTCATGTAGTATCACAACAATGCACAATAGGAATCAAAGTACAAAAAAAACCATTGTATTTACAAAGTTATAAGGTTTACAACTATGTTTAAAACATAATGTATGTGAACTCAAAAGTACAAGTTTGAACAACATGACTTTATAGATCTCCGTCTTCTCAAAAAGTTGTAGCTATACCTATATCACTGCTTCCCTGAGAATAC